TGACAAAATCTAATGATTTTGATGATTATTTTCAGACGGTTTTTGTTTTTATTTTTGCTACAGGACTGTTTAACCTTGAGAGAAATAGTCTTTTTTTCCCTCTTTGTCTTGGAACATTTTGACTGACCATGTCCTGGTCTTAGGATTTGACGTGATTCCATGTATGATATGCAGTAAATAGGTCACATGATGTTGGGAATTCCTTCGACATCGGGCTCTAAAGCGTCAGGGTCGAGGGTGTAAATACGTCCTCTCGTTAATCGCTGCTGCTTTAAACATCTGCTGTTGGGAATGGCAGTCCCTGGAGCGTCTCGGAGCGCTCGACAGCTGCGTCCACCTGTGTGTCTGTGTGTGTAAACTGTACGTGTTTGCGCAGGTACTCGGATGTGTTGATTACTCTGTGAGTTAGTACCGGCCCTAAATACCTGGACGTCAGTGTGAACTCCAGTTCTATGATCAGAGCTGCTCAAAAAGAAACAATTAGAATTTTTCCCTCCTCTGAAGAAGTGGCGTCATTTTTCTTCCAGTCAGTGTTTTTTTTTTTTTTTTTTTTTTGAAGTTTCAGATCAGGACTGTGAGGAACCAAACTATGCATGCCTCAAAAGACCATCCCATTTTCTCACATGACTTTATCCTGTACTTAATGTTAACTGATGGACTAATCTGTAATACAAACATAGTTATGACTATAAATAATGATAATAGTGTGTTTACTGCCTGGTTATAAACGTACACAACATGACCACGTTGTACTCTACTCACACGTTTTTGTATAAATACTTTGCAGGCGGGCCCGGTGGGGCCGCTCCTCCACGGACTTTGTAGTTTAACCAATAACGTAACATGTTACCGGGTAGAATATATTTGTGTAGGAGTTTTAATAGAAAAGTCTGTGCTGACTTAGATACGCTGATGTTTTGCAGCCAAGAATACTTAAAAAAAATCCCTTCTGCTCCACACGCTCTGGAACGCGTTGGATCGAAGCCAGTCTTCGACCTCATCTCCAACTGACACTTGATGTTTCTTCCTGACCTTTCCGTCTCTTCTGCTCGGCATCTTCCTGGTCTCCTCTGGCCACCTTGACCTTTGCCCCGTGTCAACAGCTTTCTCTTCTGTGTACAGTTTGATTTTATTTATTTTTTAAAATAAGGATAAATTTGTCTTCCAGATCTTTTCCCTTCATGTCTTTTTTTATTTTATTTGTGTTTATCTCGACTTCACTGTAGAACATTTTTAAGCTGCTTTGATTTGATTTGATTTTTTTTCCTCCTGCGTTGGTTTGGTCGCGACTTAGGTGCAAAACAAGTGAATAATTTCCATTTTAGATGTGTAGACACCAGTGAAGAGGACTGTTTTTGTCGGGTAGATGACTTATTAGAAAATATGTGATGTGTTGTTTTCAAATGTAGAATAATAAATCATGTTGAAAGTTAACACGATCAGGCGTCTCCCGTCCAATCTGTTTGTTTTTGCACCAGTGAAATACAGTTTTATTTGACCCTGTGTCACATGTTTAGTTCTGCCCTCGGTCAAACTTTGAATCTGTATCTACGTATATCTTACATTAATCCTTAAAAAAGTCAAGTTTTTCTGAAACACTTGAAACATTCCCTGGCTTTGGCAGCATCTCATGGATGTTTGTTTGTGTAGATGACCAAACCTGTGGTTTCATGTGTAGAGAAACTACAGAAGTCACTGCAGTAGAATTGGAGAAAAGAAAGAAAGTGACAAAACAAAGAAAAAGAACTGCCTTTTATTTGAATCGTTTTGAAAGTGAACCCTGACAGAGAGGATGATGGGATTTATTCCCGACTATCCATCATGTTTTTTTTCCTCTTTTTATTCACTCACTCTCTCTCGCTCGCTGCCCCACGTTTCCCATAGACAGGCGTATTAGACACACTTTCACAGCATCGGATGTCTGCTTCCACAATTAAGATACATCCCTGTGTGTCTCTCCTTCATTCACTCTGCACTTCCACAGCCTCAGTTCATCAATCAATCTCACTGTCAGTCAATCCTGGTCTGACTCTCTCTCTCTCACACACACACACACACAGAGAGAGAGAGAGAGAGATAAACCCCCAGAATGTCTCAGTGCATACAAATTAGAGTCACTTTTACACGATCACCGACTAAACTCCTGTAAAATCCTATTTAACGACTGTTGTCGTAGCACACACACTGCATCTGTTCGCCGTCCATCTTCATTTCTCTGCCCGTCCAACTGCAGCCGCTGGTTTTGGCGTCAACACAGAATTAAAACAACGTGAAGGAAGATGAACAAAAGCCAAAGCCGTTGAAGAAAGCTCCCTTCAACACATGAGACATGAGACACTTTTTTTTTTCTTTTTTTTTGGGAGGGGGGGAAATGAGTCCAGCCAGAGGTAATCTGGTTGCTGTCATCCAATGAGACAACAAACACATCCATTTTCCAGGGCGGCGTCTGTGGCTGTTGTCTGAGTAATAAATCATGGTTTTGACATATTAGCATCAAGCCAGAAGCCACATCACCATATGTCCTCCCTCAGCCCTGGAGTCATTCCCATCTGGTTAAAAGAGACAAAAACAAACATGTCACACAAACACACAGCCGTACTGTGCACAGTCAAAGAAATCCATCCCAATACTGACACAGACACACACTGTGGAGGAGCACAAGGCAGATACAAGTAGTCAGCACATCTGTATGTGTGAACTTATTCACACGTTAAGTTTCAAACTTTCAGACGTGTTAAGTGTTAAATGTAAAACAAATCTGTGTGTGTGTGTGTGTGTGTGTGTGTGTGTGTCTCCGCTCCCTGACTGTAAACATGTCTGTTTGTGTGCCGTCAGTCGCCTGACACTCTCTCTCTCTTTATCTTGCATTAATTTATCTTTTACTAAGTGTTTTTTTGAAGTTTTCTATCAATTCTACCTCCTCCTCTCTCCTCCCTCCTTCATCCACTCCATCCTCCTCCTCCCGGTCTCTTAACACTGACCAGAAACATGAGAAGGTTCCAGCTCAGTGAGCAAAACCCCTGCAGTCCTCCTCCTCCTCCTCCTCCTCCTCCTCCTCCTCATTTTGAAAACCTCCCTCGTTTTCCTCCTGTTGTACTCCCTCTAATGGGAAGCATGGAGGAGACTTGGAATTCTTTGTGTGGATGGAGGAAGAAAGGAGCACAGCAAAGAATGGAATGGGAAATAAGGGTTAGGTGGTAGAGGAGGAGGGAAAATAATTCTCATGTTTTCCCAAATTACCCAGTAAAATATACACATATCAGACTTTTAAGTATTCACTGTATGTATGTATTAACCACAGCAGTGACCAGAATCGAACCCTAAACGTTGTTCAATATTAAAGCATCAACACTGACCAGTGTAAAAATGATGTTTTTTCAAATCTTTCTTTTAAACCTTTTAACACCTTAAAGCCACCCCTGCACTCTTCAACTCTCTCCACCCTACCACCATCTCCCT